AGAGCAACAAAACAGAAAATGGTCATGGAGAATTACGGAGAAGTACTATTTTATGTAGGATGGACAACGACATGTATTTGAATAGAGATCTGAATGAAATGAACCATGAGATCTCTGGGGAAATCCTTCCAAGCACAAGGGACAGTAGGTAAAACAGACTTGAGTGGGATATATGCTTGTCATGTTCCATGAACAGAAAAATTTCTAATATGGCTTAAGAGTGAAAGAGAGAGATTGCTAGGGAATAAAATCGGGATTTTGTGTGTAGATCAGAGTAAGAATTTTGAGCTTTATTATGAGTGAGATTTTCAGTCCCTGGAGGATTTAGAACATGAGTGATATGATTTGACTTATGCTTTACAAGTATAACTGTGCATGCTGGGGGAGAGGGTCATGATAGGTGAACAGACAATTTGAGAAATGGGAAGAGCAGTTAGGAGAGCATTTCAACAATTGTGGTGGAGATCATGTTGAGGCAGAACGGGGTATTAATTGTGCTGTTTGTAACAGATACCTTTAATCTGGATATAGTTTAAATACAGTAGCAACATTTGTCTATGATGGATTAGAAATAGTGAGAAAAATAGAAATAGTGAGAAAAAGAGTCAAGGATGAGTTCCAAAATTTTGTCTTGAGCAGTAGATGAATTAGATGTGCCATTTCCTAAGATGAAGAAAACTGGGGAAAGTGTGGTATGGAGGAGGAGATCAAATGCAATGTTTTAACATGCCAAATTTCAGATGCCTATTAGCCAAGCAGAGGTCTGGACTAAGCAGCTGGATTCCCATATTAAGTTGGTTTGCACTCTGATCCCAGTAGTTAGGAAGTAATTTCAGAAAGAGGAGTTCTTTCTTTTGTCCAGACATCATAAATTCCATAACCAAAACAAAATATATATGTTTCCTATGATATTTGGAAGAATTAATAGACCTTCTATTTATGTTTCTCCTTTACCTTATTATAATTAGTTAAGATTAACATAAGACCCTGAACATAGTAA